TATTCTTCTATGAACTGTTCTGTTTAACTATATAAGTACCTAACTAATTTGTTTGTGTTTCACATTCGACATTAAACTTTTCGGGGTTTCTTCTACAACTTAAAATTAAAATATTCTAAGTAGAAGAATCAGTATAAACAAACCTATCACCACTAAATACCTTCACTCAACAAGAAGATACGTTTGTATTGCTCGTATGTTATAAATTACATCAGGAACAGTCGCCTATTGTCCCGAGGAGTATACCGTAAGTTGTACGATGAATTAAAGGCAAATCCGATTCTAGGAATGCCAACGAACTGCGATTTTCAAAACAATTTCAAGGTAGCAGCACCAGAACGAAATATAGGGGACCAAGGTAAGGATACAAGTCCTTCTCAATCTAGAATATGTGTCACAGTTCTCCAGGTGGGAATTATGGCCACTGAATACCTTGTAACAAAGTTAATAGANTAAAATCTGCATCTTGAACTGTTGGTATTCCACTTCTAATAAATCGTATAGTTCAGGAATCATATTCAGAAAATAATGCTACCCTCGACTTTTTATTTATTTTAAGGAAAATACCACTTTTTAAGTTTGTTGCAACGACACTACACCGCACCATGTAGAAGTTTTGCAGGAATTTCGAGGGATCTGTATAATTTCTGGCAAATAATTCACTATTCCCAGTAATTTTATTGTTTGCTAATTGGTAAGACCATCAATATAATACCCCGACCTGAGCATTTATAGATCCTAGGAACGCTCAGTTCCCAGTAACGTAATGATCCAATATTCCACATTAAATTTTCAGTACACATACTCGTACTGTTTGCTTATTCTTCTATGAACTGTTCTGTTTAACTATATAAGTACCTAACTAATTTGTTTGTGTTTCACATTCGACATTAAACTTTTCGGGGTTTCTTCTACAACTTAAAATTAAAATATTCTAAGTAGAAGAATCAGTATAAACAAACCTATCACCACTAAATACCTTCACTCAACAAGAAGATACGTTTGTATTGCTCGTATGTTATAAATTACATCAGGAACAGTCGCCTATTGTCCCGAGGAGTATACCGTAAGTTGTACGATGAATTAAAGGCAAATCCGATTCTAGGAATGCCAACGAACTGCGATTTTCAAAACAATTTCAAGGTAGCAGCACCAGAACGAAATATAGGGGACCAAGGTAAGGATACAAGTCCTTCTCAATCTAGAATATGTGTCACAGTTCTCCAAGTGGGAATTATGGCCACTGAATACCTTGTAACGAAGTTAATAGAGATTATTGTTAGTTAGACAGCGTTAAATGCAGTCAACTCGTACCAAATCAAATTCAGGCTGCTATGTAACTGTTCAAACTGTAAGGCTAGAAAATGTTGAACAATGTTACACATCTCATTCACTTAATTTTTTTTATAATCGTTGTAATAGCTAACAGTCACTAAATAGTGTAACCAAAAATAGTATAAAAGTAGCTGCAAAAAATTATTTTTAATAATCATGAAACTTTAAACGATGAAATAACTTTTTCCTTGTTAAGTTTCATTACTTTAAGTTAAAGTTGTGAAAACTTACAAAGTATTTCTATTATAAAAACTTATACACTTATACAGGGTGATTCACAAATGGTGACCAAAAATTAAGCCTCATATTCTTTGGTGACTTTTAAGGGGTCTTTCCTATAAAGTTTTTATCTAGAACGCTTCGTTAAAAAGATACAGGGTGTTAGACTTCAAAAAATATTAAATTTTTAAAATAATGTAAAAACTAGTAACTGAAATGAGTTGAAATTGGGCACATATATTTATCTAAACATTGTCCAAAATCTGAGGGCATTTCCTAAAATTTACATGCTCCACTGCAGTGGCGGAGATACAGGGTATCTGTGGCATATTTTTCTAAATAAAGTAGTACGCCACTGCTTTACAATAAGAACCATGATATTTTTGGATTCGTCTTTCAATTTTCTACAATTTACTACTTATGTTTTTCGAAAAAAAACTGATTTCCGAGTAAAACCTAAAAAACGAACTGAGAACACACTTCGATATTCGAATATAATGCTTTTTAAAATTACATAGTGGGCTGCGATATCAATTTTGACATTCTGAGCAGTTAGAAGAAAGAATAAATAGTGCTTTTCATCAGATTCAAGCAACAATAAATTTGGAACAAATTACATTTTCGTTAAGTACCTACTAAAAAGATTCGTGGAAATGGGGGTATTTTTGATCATTTACTCAAAATCATTAAAATGGTGATTAATGTTATTAATTTCTTTATTCGAATAAATAACCAAATGCTTGTCATGTCATTTAAGTAAAAGTGTTTTAATTTTTTTAAAGTTAGTCGAAAATCAGTTTTTTTTTTGAAAAACATAAGAGAGTAGTAATTTGTAGAATATTGAAAGACAAATCCGAAAATATCATGGTTGTTATCGTAAAGCAATGGCGTACTATTTTATTTAGAAAAATATCCCACCGATACCCTGTATCTCCGCCACTGCAGTGGAGCATGTAAATTTTAGGAAAAGCTCTCAGATTTTGGACAATGTTTACACAAATACATGTGCCCAATTTAAAATTATTTCACTTACTAATTTTGAAATTATTTAAAAAAATATATATATTAAAATTCACCAAAGAATACGAGGTCTCATTTTTGGTCAACATTTGTGAATCACCCTGTATAACCGTCTCCTTTACTTTTATAAGAATGCAATGACTGCTTCTCGTGACTTCAGGACAGTTATAAATTAATTATAAGAAACATTTCAGGAGCTCTTTTGGGAATCAATTAAACAACTTGTAAAAGGAGCATACTTTACTATGTATTTGTAGTCGTCTTAATACTAATGATCTTCATCTTTATTAAGAACCAAAAATTGAATTGCCTCAGAAAACATAAAAAATGACCTAAAAGTGTATACCCAGGTACCTACTATAAAGAAATAATATTGGGCTATATTTTGAATAATTGCGCTTTAAAATTTTTTCCTACATTGAGAAATTCAATTTTACTTCTAAAAAATATGTGTACCTCAAAAATAATACCACATGGTACATTGTTATATTAATATTAATTATTTATTTTGCAATTCATTTTAACGAGACGGAGAAATTAATACTTTTAATTAAAATAAAGTTTTTCATAAATCTAAACATCTCAGAAAATATATGGCAGCCTTACTGGCTGTTCATTTTCCGAATCGTGTGCATAGGTTCTCAGTAGGAGAAAAATGTTTCAGAAAAATCCTACGTACTTTTAGTCGTAGAATCTGAACCTGTAATAAAAAATACAGGTTCCTGTTTAAGATTTCTGAGTTACCTACCATTCCCCATACAAGGAGCGGGGAGGTGGACTAATTTTAGCACTAATGTGTTTTCTTCGTGGAATGATAAAATTTTGATTATGGACATCTTCGAAAGCTTCTACGGCTTATTTTTCGAGATATTTGAAAGTTTCAGGTTAATAAAATCACCTATATGAAGTGTATATATCCTAGAAAAAACTAACGATGATATGTGTTTCAAACGCATCTGATATACTTATTGAAATCGTTAAATATTGTAATCATTCAAAGAAATATCTGGTACTTTCGTTGCTCTGGCATCACTTTTGACAAAGACCAACACGTTCCACCAAATCAGTTGCCACACATTAATTAACATATTATTCAGCACTTGATTGTTTCAAAATATAATTTTTCTAAAAATTTTGGATTTTTTTATATATATATGTAATTTTATTCTGTTATTATTTATTAATTTGATTCACAAGCTAACTGATTAAACATTACCAAGTAAAATGTAGAAAAAAGATCTTTCCGTAATAGCTGTTTTTTACTTATTGGTCTTTGTGAAAGGTGAAAAAAAATATTTATCAATTTCAATACATTAGGTGTGAGTTTTATTTAGACTATCATTTTCAGTTTTTACTTTGGATAATTATTAAAGTACAAATCAATATTGTTAACAAACAATACCCAGTATGCTATCATTTTCAAAATTATCTCTTTATTTTCCAGTTTCTGAAATTCTTAGACGCCAAAAAAGATATAGATTAGGAGAGGATGCACAAGTAAGTTCTTTTATTTTTTTCTAGAAAACTATATTTTGACTGAAAAAGAATTTTTTCAATTTTGTGTACAGTAATTCACCAAAATTACTTTAATCAGTTTAAAAACTGGATCAAAACTAAAAATGATACCATATTGTGTAATGTATATTATATTATTGGTTTCCATTTTGGACACTATATTACACTAAATAGATACAAAAACAAGATAAAAGACCGTCGTTAATTTTACATTAGAATCCCAATAGCCCGTTATGTGACCTTGAACATTTGAAAGATTGTGTAAAGCAGTTTTCACAATATAATCGGTTTGATTATGATTTTCCATTCACTTCTTTATCTATGACACCTACTTGAACTTTTTTATAATACATGTACGATTAAGTGAAACAATTAAAATCTTAGGTAAATCAGTTACAAAAAAATGGTATTTCCCCTGGGAATAAGCGTGTAATTATGATTGTGAGAATTTATAATCGAGTTTCTCTAATAGACAATTTGTTTAGTGAAGGTGAAACTTTTTGCAGCAAAAAAATAACTGTACTTATTGTACATAATCGTGCAATTAACCAGGCGCCGACAATTTCATTTAAATCCCTCGTCGAATAATATTTAAATCGATTTAAAGAATAAACTAAAACGAATTAAATATGTTACCCAATTATAATCCACTGTATTGGCAGTAGTAAAAGTCAATTCCAATCAAGAAACAATTGATTAACGACGAGAAAATCGGGAAATTACAGTACAATATGTGCCAAATTCAATTTTGACAGCTTTTACGCCCACATGCCGATGTTTCTTTCGGATATGTCAACTATTTTTCATGTAATTATGAAATAACATTCCGAAAGAATTTGTAGGAAACCATTGTCGAGGTCTGCCTATTGCAATTCTCGCATTTCCGCTAATTTAAAACAAAATGTACTCACCGTATTTTTAAAAAACAAATGCCAACCTTCTACGAACGTACACACTAACCACCATGTTTATTGATTTTTGTTTATGAGGACGCTTTTCACAACTTTTATAATGTAGATTTACTTCTTTTGACAGTCAGCGCTCATACAAGCTATTGTATATGCAGAAATCTTCTCCATTTTGAGCCTGCGTCGCTGTACGTGATATTAGCTCGCCTTTGAACCGACAGATGGCAGTGAACTGTACAATGTAGAAGTCCTTACAAATAAAGTCAGCGAAAACGTTGACTGTAGATTTAGCTAATGTTTTCTAACGCTTGTACTTCTTTCCCACAGATGTCACAACTATCGGTTTCAATATTGATTAGAATCAGAAGATGATAAACGCGTGGTATTGTTCTTGCAACAATTATGTATAGCAATGTAGTATGTGTATATCTGAGAATTATTATTAAACATAAAAATTTGAAACTTTACATTACCTAATGGGAAAACTGTAACTTAAAATATAAGAGTGCGTGTTTTCTAAATAGTTGCTACCAAATCTTTGCAGAGTTGCATATTTTTATACACTTTATTTTTCTAAATCTCTATCGATCATTTTTACGTCAGTGTATTCTAATGTCCGGTCTACAATAGCATAAGCTGTGCTAGCTAACAATGATAGCAAGCAGGTCTAGCAAAATTTGAATTTCTAATAACATTTACTCCTGTAATAATATTTGCAACCTAATAACACTGTTTGCTAACGAAATTCTGATTATTCCACGTTTACACTGAGTATAACAGTGTTAACTAACACTGTTCACTAACAGTTTTTGTGAAAATGTTAGTAACCATTTAATTTTTACAACATTCATAATATTTGTAACCTAATCACATTGTTTTCAAACAAACAAAATTCAGATTACTCCACATTTACACTGAAAAGAACTATGTTAACTATTCGCTAACATTGTATGCGAACAATGATAGCAAAACTTTAATTTGTACTAACATTTGTAATAACATTTGCAATCTAGCAACACCGCGAAATTCAAGATATTGCAAATCAACATTAACGAGAACAGTGTTTGAGAACAATCTTAGCTAAGTTGGAATTTTTACTAACGTTTATAATAACGTTTGAAACGTAATCCTTAACGAAATTTAGACTAGTTGACTTTTACACTGATGCAGACAATGTTAACTAACACTTTTGTCAGGTTCACACTAACGCGAAAAGTCTTAGCTAACTATGTTCATTAACAATATTTGCAAACAACGTAATAACATGACACGAATAATAGTATTCACGAACGATGTCAGTAAAGTATGAATTTTCACTAGCAGTCGTAGCAAAATTTGCTCCCTAACTTTTGCATGTTATAACTTTGTAGCAAAGAAAATGCAGTGGTTGCATGGTGAAATAATAAAACTAATTAAATTATTTAAAAATACAATAGATTTTTTTCAATTGATTGCTGGCTTATTTGAGTAGCTGTCACTGTTTTGAAGAAATAGAAATTCTAAATTTTATTTCTAGATTAACAACACTATCAAAATTCTTTTTGAAGTATTAGGTACTAATTTGCTTGTTTACATTGACCCTATATTAATCTTAAGATGTAACATTTTGGTGGCAGTTACTGATTACCCATGTTAGTGTTTAAGCCAGAGTAAATATTATGTCATGATATAGTTGTCAGTTATATTCTCATATTGCTATTCATTTGTAGTACGCCTCCTATTAAATAACATGTCAAAAAATTATTCGAGAACGTTACTAAAGGTTGTTATTTTGATAGAAAACGCAGGTTTTTAATAAAAAAATTCTAAATTTTTTATTGACAAAATATACAGGGTGTCCCATTTTTATTCTGAAAAAATTCAGGAAAGGGTAGATCCGATAAAATTAAAGGGACTTTGTTATATAAACTTATTTCGAAATCTGAATCCTTTCCGAAATACAGGGTGTTGAAATTGATTTTTTTTTCATTTTTCGTTAATATCTCTTAGAATTATAAACCAATTGTTCTCAAATTTTGTGTAGTGGATGCCACAATGCACTAGTACTAATGCACAAAATCTCAGCTCGACAGAAAGAGCAAGTGGCGTGCATTCCGCACTTGCCGATATCTTTTATAAAAAGTACCTATGTGTTACGCCACTGACTGATCTTCAAAATAATAAGTAATTTCAATTTTCCGTGCATTGTTCTGCCAAAAAGCATTATGTTTTCTCCAAAATAGCCACCGTCATGGAGTAAACCGACATTTCATAAAATCATCCCTGATTTTAATTTTAGCAGAACTGTCGTAATCAACAACTTACTGAAACGCTGAACTCGATCACTATTCCTTATTTAAGAAATGTTGAAGCGCGCTCCTGGCTAAGTAAATACTATCTGTGATTACTGACAATGTTCGTTTTTTTAAGTTGGAAAAAATTAAAACATTTAAAATTCTTTTAGTGATTTAATAACAATAATTAATTATAAAATTAATGCACATTAACATTTAATAAACTAAACAGAAACTGTATCATTAATGTGTCAACGAATATTTAAATATTGTTCAAATTGCAGGCCATTGGCCGCAATACATGCATCACATCTTTTTCTAATTGCTCGTTTAATTTTTTCCATGACGAACCTATTTTGATTTAAATCATGACACGCGGTTCTAATTTGTTGTTGCAGCTGCTCACGTGAGGTGATCACACTTTCATATACCTTGTCTTTTATTATACTCCAAATGGAAAATAAGTAATATCAGGCGAATGAGCTGGCCAAAGAACATGGCCTTTCCGAGCAATCCATTTGTTAGGATAATGCACATTAAGCCAACCTACTACTGCCCTTCCTGAGTGGGCGGGTGCTCCATCCAACTGCAGCCAACAATGCCAAATTTTCCAGAACAACGGGAATATCATGTTCCAGAAAATCTAAATATCCATCGAATTTAAACGTTAAGGCAAAAATACGGAATCAACCAATTATCCATTAATAAAACCCAACCAAACATTCACACTAAATTCATTTTGAAATGATGACGGCCTAATAGCGTTTGGGTTTTCATGTTGCCACAAGTGTAAATTGTGATGGTTCACAACGCCTGGGCTCGTAAAACACGCTTTGTCTGTCCACAGAACCTTGGAGACAAAATCAACATCATTTTCGATTTGATTTAACAACCAATAGCAGAAATTCATTCGATTCTGCGCATTTTCAAGGCGCAAATTTTGAACCGTTTTAAAATGATATGCATGTTGATATTTAATATTCGTTGCGACATTACTGTATCAGGAGTTAACATCACAGATAATATTCAATTAGCGAGGAATGTGCTTTAACATCTTTTAGATAAGGAATACTGAATACTAAATTAAAAAAACCTGAGCGTATCAGTTGTTGATTACAACAGTTCTGCTAAAATTAAGATCAGGGATGATTTTATAAAATGTCGGTTTACTCCTTAACAGTGCCTATTATGGAGAAAACGTAAGAATGCATTTTGACAGAACAATGCACGGACAATTGAAATTACTTATTATTTTGAAGATCAGTCAGTGGCGTAACACATATTTTTTATAAAAGGTATCGGCAAGTGCGGAATGCACGCCACTGGCTATTTCTGTCGAGCTGAGATTTTGTGCATTAGTACTAGTGCACTATGGCATTCACCAGACAAAATTTGAGAACAATTGGTTTATAACTCTAAAAGACATTAAGAAAAAAATTAACAAATAAAATCAACTTCAACACCCTGTATTTCGAAAAGGGTTCAGGTTTTGAAATAAGTTTATATCAATTAGTGACCTTAAACACTCTGGCCGTCTTTCAACAAGTTGTTCAACACCAAACACAGAAGCAGTTCCTGAGGGTGTTGCTGAGAGTCCAGGAACATCAATTCGGCACCGTTATCAATAATTGGACATTTCGAGAAGCTGTCTACAACGTATTCTCACGAAAGAGTTGCATCTCCATGCTTACAAAATTTATTTGACTCACGCAGAGCGAAGAGAGTTGGTTGAATGGTTTATGGCACAACTAGTAGTGGATGCTCATTTTTCGAACAAAGTCATCTTCAGTGATTTTTATTTTGATGGCTTCGTTATATTATTTAAACAAATGCACGTGTCACTGTTTGGTGTGGATTTTGGATTGGAGGCATCATCGGAATATTCTTCTCCGAAAATGTGACTGGTCAGTCAGTAACTGTAGACTATCGCGACATAATAATCTAGTTTTTTGTACCTAAATTGCAAGACATGGATGTAGTGGACGTGTGCCATATGCCATACAGGCCGAGAAACAATTGAATTACTACATGAGTCATTTCCTTGTGAAATTTTCCGTTTTGTTGATCAGAATTGTTTTTTTTTCCTAAGTCTAAGGTTTATGACAAGCCCGCGACCACCCGTGCCTTAAAGGAGTAAAATGAGTGCTGAATCAACGAAATTCAGCCACGTTTATGCAAAACGGTCATTGAAAATTTCAACAAAAGTGTGCGTGTATGTGCCAGCAAAGCCTTGCATGCCATTTATCCGATATGCTATTCGATACATAACTCTATACTGTGTTCTTTATGAATCAACAAAAAATTTACAATTTTTAATTAAAAACCTATGTTTTCTATCAAAACGCCTTCCTGCGTGTACACTCTTTACTTACGCTTTTGATTTAAAGATTTTTTTTAATTAATATTCTAAACTAATTTTTAAACTTGAAAGATACCCATTTGTAAACTACAATAATTATTGTAAGTAAATTTAAGCTCCAATATAACAAAAAATTCAAAAGGTTGTACATTCTGCATCCCACTGCGTCAAAAGTTGTGAAGTATTGTATTCCAGATCCCGACCTGAAAATTGCAAAAGTGCTTTGGCAAGTTAGACACTTCTCACGGACTCTATTACAGCGGGTATTAAAATTAAGTTAAACTTGATGATGGATGATAAGTAAGACGTTGACAGATAGGATATACTCAAAGTTACATTATCAGTCCAATTTACTTGTTTACGAACGATCGATGATAATAAAGCTCAGAACATTAAAACTTCGTCCAATTATTGTTTGACACTGGATTCGATTGC